TATATAGGGTTCTGGATCGAGCTGCCCCGCAGCATTGCCAGTTAGCCCCAGGTGTGAAATCACACGCGTGAGCCATTCCAGGCCACCCGAAATCGCCCACGTGGCATCGTCGGGTGCGTAAGCTGCGAGCAAAGGCCAGGCTTCGCATTCACCGCTCTCGCCAGCTTGGACAGCAACCTGCTGCTAAGGACTTGCAACTACTGGAGAGCCACCATACCAAGCCCCGATACCGTGAGACTCGTCTTTCTCGCAAGTCGCAACAATGGGCAGAGTGGAATGGAGACTGGTCAGGCTGGGAGCAGCCCTCCTACTCGGCTGCTGGATGGCAGGAGCCACAGCGACAGAGGCAGCAGACCAGGCGACAATCCGAGCCCAAAGGCCCCAAGTTCCCATCCTACGAGATGATGAGCTCTGGTGTGGCGAAAGCACAGGAGATGGCCGACTCCAGTTCGCGGGATATGGAACCTGGAGCAGACATGGCCAAGCATTTCCAGAAGTTGGTGAATACCATGTGCAAGGCGGAGACCCGTCTTCGCAAGATCGCCCAGGACAAGAAGGAGGCGACAACCAAATGGGAGTGCTTCCAGAAGGAACTCAAGGTTTCCTTCATGAAGGAAAGGGCCAAGTTCCAGGACTTCTCCACCCGCATGGAGCAAGAAACGAGCGAGCTCGAGGAGGCCAGGGATGGAGCTGTGGAGGAGATGGCGCGCTTCCTGGCAGACCCCACGGCAATCCATGCCAAGACGCCGCAGTCGGAGGGCTCTGTCGAAGCCCAGAAGGAATGGGACGAGCTAATGCAGGATGTCAACGAGGCCCCGGAGGACGACATTGTCAACATGATCTCCAAGGCGGTTGGCAATGGTGGCAGTATCAAACCGGAGGCCAAAGACCGCATGCTGGCTGCCCTTCTCAAATTGAAGACACGGGGACAGGATCGCGCCACACCGCCCAAGCGCACAGCTGCAATGCCAATGACTCCAGCCGTTGGCAAGACTGCGAAAGATGGCGTGGAGAACAAAGGAGCTGCCGATGCAAGCAACATGCTGCTGCATGCTGGCACCGACCCCTACTTGGCCTCACCGACGGTCCGCAACCTCCTGCCCTCACCTGGGGCCCTGCGCAGGTCGCATTCCCGGAGGGCCCGCATTCCTTTGAAGGAGGCAACCAAGAGGCCGGTCCCATCACCGCGCCCGGAATCGGCTTTGGCGAAGCGCCTCGAAAAGCGCCGTGCCGAACAGGAGGAGCCTATCGAGGAGATCGACGACGAGGAGGACTCAGAGCAGGACACGGTAGCGAACCTCTTAAAGGCCAATATGGACGAGGCCGTGAAGTAGCACCTCCTGCTTATGACCTGATGATCTGCAGAGCTTTTTCGGTTTGTCTCTCGGACCACGGGTTGGAGCTCCCGCATTATGAATTTGACCTGGAAAACTTTGCCAGGTCCAAGCACTCTCCTATGGGGCTTTTTCGGTGCGTCCCCTGTCTTCGCCACTGCGCTTGCCGTGTATGTGGCGACAATCCCCCTCCACTTCGGCATCTCGCCGATTTATGCCAACGGCATGTTTATGAAGGAGGTCGCCTTGGGTCTGTGCGAACCTTCCTGCAACAGAGAGCTCTGCAACAAGAATTTTGTCATCGTGTTGGGAAATGTGGGGAAAAACATCACCCACAATCTCGAGATGAGATACAGCACGGCCCCTTGGGAGGCCACGTCTGTTATAGCCAACAACAGGGAATGCCTGAGAAGGACTTCGGTGACACCCGTGCATCTTCCAGGATCCATACACTATGTCATTGTGGGGGAAGTTGTGGGGAAGAACTTCACCCGCAACCTCGAGATGAAATGCGGCACGGCCCTTCGGGAGGCCACGTCCGATACATACAGCGGCAAGGTATGCCTAACCAGGACCTCGGTGGCACTCATCCACCTCTCTTAGCCCCTGCACTACATCATCGTGTTGGACATGACGGAGATGAATTTGAACTACAACCGCGATGCGGGACACGACACGGCCCTTTGGGAGGCCAGGCCCGTTACCGACAGTCAAAACATAAGGACATCCTGGACGTCATAGAGGAGTTCCTTGTCCTGCTGCTGCCCCTCCTGGAGTCCTTCCTCCTTGAGTGTGCACCATGGGCGAGAGCCTGGCTGATGACCTTCGGTGCCATCAACTTTGTCTTGCTGTTGATAGTGCAGGCCCTACCGCTTGTAAAAAGGAAGAGGAAAAGACAAGGCATGCGATTGACTTCTGTTCAATGTTGTGCCATCTATGCATGCCTCACTGTGCGTGGGGCGGCTGCTGTTGGTGCACTGTCGGGCGGCCAAACCTTGAGACGGCTGCCTCAGCCTTCTGACTTTGAACAGTGGGCAAATGGACAAATGACAATGCGGGAGCAGATGGCTGCTGCCCTCCAGAGAGTGATCATGGAGGCCCCGCTCCTCCATAGTGCTGGGGAAGCCATTGTCCCACCACTGCAAATCCCAGCGCCTGGAGAAGACCAGCAGCAGCTCGTACCACAAATGGAGGTTGCCACCGTTCATGTGACGTTATGGCTTTCCTCGCCTTATTACGAAAGTGAAACGGTCGACATCGAAGTACCCTTCCCGACCACGGCAACCCGACTTGCCGACGCCCTCAGAAGCTCATGCTCGATAGTCCCAGATTTCATGGATGAGGTGCTGCCAACCACCCCTCAAATCAATGATCACTACGCAAGCTTCATAGCGGTTCCCAGATGGATGAGACAAACCTCGCGTAAAGCAGTTACCCTCGACTGTAGAGGAATCGGGGGCACTGTCTATGCCATCTACATTGAGGAGGCTCTCACCCGAGCGCAAGTTCTGAAAAATGTTATACAAGTGCTTGACTATGAAGTCGACATCTTTGCCTTTGGCAGCCAGCTGCCGGTGCTGGATGGACATGGCATCGATTGTATTCAAGCGGGCCTTGTAAAGGTCCTGCCTCGGGGCGCGGTCTGTGAGTGGTCAGACGAGTTGACTGACCGTGTCCACTCACCGAACAGATGGAACCCCATGTGGAGCCCCCTCACTTGCTCGATGGCCTGCGTACGGTGTACCAGGGTGTGGAGGACCAGGTTGTCGAGACCATCGAGGACCATGACGATCGCCCCCTGGAAGTGGCGGCCGAAGAAGCTCTTGACCTTGAGCACGGTGAAGTAAGGGTTGTCGCTCCAAATCAGAATCTAGAACGGCTGGTTCATGGTGGTCGAAGGGTATGGACCCAGATCGCGGTGATTGAAGAAGGGGAACAGCCGGCAAACCAGGGGATTGTCATTTTCCTTGATCTACGTGGCCTTGGATGCTTTCCCCAATGGGCACAGCTGGAAAACCCTCGATTTGACCCTCGGTCATACTATGAAAGCCTTCAGTTTCCTGGGCTCCCAGATTGGGTCTTGATAGCAGAAGGAGGGACGACCCATCCCGATGGTCAAACTGTTATGGTTCAGGAGGGCGAGGTCGTCACCCTATTCCTCCAACGCAATGAGGAGCATAGCTCCAGTTCAGGGGATGAGTCTATGAGCTCTGGAGACTCTAGCGATGACCGGGATGGCTTCACCTCTGATGCCACAGACCCGTTGCCCAATTCGAGCGACCTAGGTGGGTCCCCCCCACCTGATGATGGCATACCGCGAGGACCCCCGCCCCCGCAGCCGGTCAATCGAAGCAGGTCTCCAAGAAGAAGGACCATCACCCTTGCTGAGGCTGTTGACCCTCCTACTTTTGATATCAGCAAGGAGGTTGTTCAGCTGCCACACCATTGGAATGCCGTGGGAGGCCTTTTTGCCCCTTGGGAGCCTTGCTGGCTTGACTTTGAGGTGACAGACATTGTTCTGCCGGCCGAGATTGCAGCCCACCTTGAGGGAACACCAAGCTGGACCAAGCTGCTGCAGGATGCGGAACCGACGGACACCAGGGAAATCCTGCTCTATACTGATGGCTCACATGAGCACACCAAGGGTGTCAGTGGCTACGGGGTTGTGATCCTCCTCAAGGTTGGTGCTGCAATGGCGATCTTGGGAGTCCTCGGGGAACAGCTCCTGGGTAATGACAATACCGGATGGGACATTGATGGACCACCAGCGCTGCGAGCGGAGCAGGTGGCGGTGACAGCAGCCCTTCTTTGGATCCTCCAGATGCGCCAGGTCTGTGCCCCTTTCGTTTGCTCCCTGCACTACGATTGTATGTCGGCAGGGCTGGCAGCCGATGGAACGCGCCGGACCACTACGGACAGAAGACAAACCATCTAGCAATGATGGTACAAGCGTGCCCAGATATAGAGCTGGAGCTGCACCATGTCAAGGCCCACAGCGGCAATGTTTGGAACGATGACTCTGTCGCCAAGATGGCCGCCAAAGGCAAAAGTGGTCTCCCTTTTGCTGATGCCTCCGCAGTCAGCCTATTTCACCAGATCAACTTGGAATGGGTTGCCACCGAGATACTTGCTCGGGTCTCTGGCTCCCTCCCTATTGCTGATGGCAGAATTCAGTGGGGCGATGCGGACCAGAAACCCTACCTACTGGAACCAGGTATGCTGGTGCCTACGGTAAGCCATCAGTTTGAGGATTGTGCCTCCGAGGACTATTACGTCAGGATCGGCACGATCAATGTCCAAGGGATTGGTGGCAACTACAGGTACTTTGAAGATTAATGCCTGGAGCTGGGCATCAACATATTGTGCCTGCAGGAGACAAAGACCAGCGAGAACATGACAAGGTCTGATCGCTTCTTAAGTTTTTCGTCGGATGCCAAAGGCAAGTGGGGCACAGCCATCTGGCTGAACCGCCAAATGGGCGCCATGACCTACAAGAAGCAGACGATTGTCATCGAGGAGGCCGATGTCATGGTGGTCAGGACCAACCCAAGATTACTGGCCATCACCTTGACCATTGGCACATTGGCCAGACGAAGGTTGCTGTTCTCAGTGGCCACTGCTCACATGCAGCACTACCTCAGGACAGAGATGACTTTCTCCGACAACTTCAGGAGACCCTCCACACAGTGCGCCATTGCAGCCTAACGCTGTTGGGGATAGATCTCAATGGGCGTGTCCCGGACAACTACGAGGATGTGACGGGCGCGTTAAAGCACGATGAGGCAGATGTGACCGGAAAAATGTTTACCGGCGCAATTTCAAAGCTTCAGGGATGGATTCCATCGACCTTTGGGCATCTCCACCCTGGGGACACGACAACATACCACCACAGCAACGGAGGTGAGCACCGCATAGACTACCTTGTTGTTTTTGGCAAGGCCATTGTACATTCCGTGTACAGTAGAACCTGCCCGACATTCGACAACTGCAGCCCAAACGAAGACCACACTCTCCTACTCACGGATTTGGCTGGTCAACTCTGGGCTGGGGATTCCCCGGCCAGACTTTGGAGGCCCAAGTACAACGTGGAGAAGATGGCCACCAATGAGGGCAGAGAGTTGGTCAAAGGGATCATGAAGGACTTTCGCCAGCCTAGTTGGAGCACCAGCCCTGACCAACACTGCGCCTACATCCAGTCCTATCTCCACCAACGCCTGCAACAAGATTTTCCCGCCCCGGAGAGAACAAGCAGGGCATCCTTTGTCCCAGACCGTGTCTGGGAGCTCAGGCGCTGCAAGCTCGCTTTCAAAGATAAGGTCCGACACCGTCGTAAGCTATGGTTGGCACTTCTGACACGAGCCTTCAAGCAGTGGGCGGAAAACAGCAGCTACAGTGTGGAGCTCTTGGTAGCCAAGCAGGGCCTCCTGTACCAGATGGCGGCTGCGGCCATTGCCATCAGCACCAAACAGATCAAGGTCCGTATTGCCGAGGCCAAGAATGACTTCTTGATGAAGGTTGCGGGTGAGAATCACCAAGGGGTGACGCAGATCCTCCAAAGAGTCAGGAGAGCTGGCCTAGGAGGCAGCTCAAAGGCTCGCAAGCCCCGGCAACTACCAATGCTCATGGACCCGAGAACGGGGCAGCAGGCTATGAGCCGTGCTGACAGAGACCGAATCTGGCTCAGTTACTTTGGTGAGCAAGAATATGGCACGGTCATGACGATCGAGGAGTACCTTGCCCAACCAAAAGCTGGGCCAAAACTCGATGCGCCACTCAATTGGAGTGCTGAAATGATGCCCAGCCTCTCGGACATTGCCGCTGTCCTCAGAAGTACCCCTAGGGGTAAGGCCCCAGGAGTTGATGGCATACCAAGCGACCTACTCACGGTCGACCCAGTCGGCCTTGCTCAACTTCTGCAGCCCCTCATGATAAAGAGCCTCCTCAATGGAGGACAGCCGTCCCAGTGGAGAGGCGGAGTGCTGTTTGAGGCCTACAAACAATCCGGTGCCCACCACCAGGTTGAGAACTTCCGCAGCCTCTTCGTGAGCTCTTTCTTTGGAAAGGCCTACCACAAGGCCTTAAGGGAGAAGATTGGTGACGCGGCAGCAGCTCTGCTACATCCACTACACTTTGGATCAAAGCAGCATGCCCCGGTGACCTTTCCTTCCCTGTTTATTGTCACCCACCTCCGGCGGCTCATTGCCTCCAAGTCCAATGGGGCTGTCTTATTCATAGACACAAGAGCTGCATATTACAGAGTTGTTCGTGATTTAGCCACTGGCTGTCTCGAGTCCGACCACCAAATCGTCTCCTTGTTTCGCCGCTTTGGTTTGAGTGGAGAAGACGTTTCGGACCTACTTGCCACGGTGGCGGCTGGCGGTATGATGGGAGAAGCTGGCGTCGACGATGCTTTGCGACACGCGATAAAGGACATCCACTTGTATACATGGTTCATAACCTCGTATTCAAATGGGAGGTCCCTGGTTCAGTCACAAGCTGGCTCACGTCCAGGAGAATCGTTCGCGGACATTGTGTATGCTTTCATCTACAGCCGTGTCCTTTATAGGGTTCATGAACAATTGGTTGCCGAGGGCCTGAACTTCACACTCCGGTGGGATTCCGAGGGAGGTGTTTTCTCGAATGGCTCCCAAGGGGTTGATCAAGAAGCTTGGGACGCTACTGGGCTGATGATTCTGCTTATGCCCTCCAAGCAGAGTCTGCGCATCAACTTCTACAACGGACAAAACGAGCGTGCTCCATTGTCTGTGGCACCCTGATGGCCCATGGGATGCAGCCGAACCTCAAGCCTGGGAAAACCAGCTTGTTAATCAAGCTGTGTGGAGCAGGAGCCACCAAAGCTCGTCACTGCCACTTCAAGGACGGCAAGTCTGCGCTCCACCTCGAGGACCTTGATGTCAACATCCATGTTACGAGCCAGTACAGGCACCTAGGGGCCATCCTGGACACACGGGGCATCCTTTGTCACTGAAGCAAGACATAGACTTGCTCTGGCTGCCAACGCGTTTGAGTCGGCCAAGAAGCTTATGCTGCAAAACCCCACCCTGACCCTGCGGATGCGAGGGGCTATCTTTGAAGTTGCTGTTGCGACTACGTTCTTTAACCTCGGTCTTTGGATTCCGGGCAGCAAAGCGTGGGACATTATCGTCGATGGCCATGCGCGCTTGGCGAGGCGTTTGCTTGCGGTAGAGGTGAAGACGGACCGCCTCCTCCACTTGCCAACCCCTGTGGCCTTATGGATCACCCACACCCTCCCGATCGACCTTTTGGCGAGGAGACAGAGATTGAGTCTGCTGGTCTCTCTGGCCAAATCGGGGCCTGGGGCCCTTTGGGCTGCGTTACAAAGTGAGGAACGTTGGCTCTCACAGATTTGTGACGACCTACGTTGGCTTATCGCCGATGAGGAGAGCCAATGGCCAAATCTTGCTGCCCATGATTGGCCGATCTGGTACAAGATCCTCAGAGAGGAAACGGCCAGATTCAAGCGCAAGGTCAAGAAACGAGTGCAGACCGAGCAGGCCAGGAGGCACGATGAGGAGGCAGCCAATGTCTGCTTATGGGCTATGGCGAGGTCCATTGAGAAACCTGGGAAGGACCAGCAACAACCGGAAGCATGCTGGACTTGTCGGCCATGTCGGAAGACTTTTGCGACCAAAGCAAGATTGAGCGTTCATTTCTTCAAAACACATGGCAGAGTAGCGGACTACAGGCGCTACCTACAAGGCACCATCTGTGAAGTCTGCAATACGCAGTACTGGGCGGCAGGGCGGTTGGCGGCGCACCTACGCTACTCGACGAGATGTTCAGCGGCCCTCAGAGCAAGAGGGGCGCAAGTCGATAAAATCCTCCCTGGCTTCGGTAGTCGTGCTCGACGGCAAGGTGAAGTTGAGAACTTCACAGCAGCTGCCCCGGTCACGGTTGATGGTGCCCCTATTGTGGCGGAAGGGCAGACATGGAGTTTCGAAGCCCAGAAGACCTACAAGGATCTCAGTGGGATCCTGCTTGAGGTCCAGCGACCATGGTCTAAGCAGACGGTTTTCGATGCCATCAGGGTATTGTTTGAGTCGGTGCCCTTGTACCAGTCGGAGATTGCAGAGGTCGTTGACTTTGCGTGTGAAGAGGCGACCCTCCTCCATGCTACAGACCCTGAGGAACCATGGAATGCTGAGGAACTTCAAGACTTGATCGACAGCTTGCAAGATGTCAGAGACACCAAGATAGAGCACCATCATGGTGCCCCTGAGGCGCAGTGAGTGCACCCTGAAGTGTTTTAGGAGTACTGTTGCTGATGTGAAATGGCCGAGGCCTTCCCTTTCTAGGTCTGGTAGTCACGGGACCCGCGCTCCAGTGTACAAGTTGTCTGACTCCTGGGAAGCTGAGTGGAGAAGACATTACAGCACTGCCAGTGCCTCAGCCGTGGCAAATGACCTTTTGCTTCTTTTGCCAAATGAATTGAGAAGGGCATGGGCAGAACTCCAGCGAGGAGAGATAGCCTATGTTGAGGCCCCTCAATCATTTTGGCGACACCCGCTGGCATCGCCTTTTCAGGCTATTGCTGCGGCTTTGCATCTAATTAAGCAGCGCACTCCACTGAAAGCACGCAAATGGCAAAATATATATATATATACAGATATATGTATATGTATAGACAGTGGCCGAGGTTCATGCAGAAATGTCTATTTCTGGTGTTGATACAGTGATGCTGTCGGTGCCCAAGCACCGGATTCCTCCGATTCCTAAGTCTGGCAGCAATTCGCATGTTGGAATGCGACACGCCACCTGCTGCCGCTCATCTTCCCAGGTCTTTGCTCGATCCTGATCTGGGTCCAGAAGAAACGCAGCTCCTGATCAGAACTGTGACACTGTGACAATCGCGCCAAAGCCGCAGGACGCTCCTAGGACAGCGGAGAGCCACTTGGCCACGCAGGTCCACTTGGCTTGTGCGCGTTGCACTTCCTGTCGAAACGTGACACCAGCATTCAATTATCTAACTGCAGATTCATGATGAAGTGCAGTTAAAAGCACCAGGTGTGCTAAATCGCCTCCTTTGCCAGTCTACGTATGGACTCATCGATCTCCTGCCGCAGCGTTGTTGCGTCGACATATCTCAAGCCCCGTCACAGTCACTTGTAACACAAAGCATAGCCGTCCCAGAGGTGAAGCACACCCGGGCTGCTCGTCCCGCGCTTGTGTTTACTTTAATGCTGACATGCAGCAATGCTAGCATGCCTCTTCGTCGAGCTCGTCCAGCGCTACATGCATGCCTGCAGAGACGACTCATTTGCAAAAACGGCTGGTGATCGCGCAAACACAACTGATCTCAAGACTTCGCCCTGATGGCGTTGGACAAAGGTTGGCTGCGACCGTGGCAGGGAATAGGCTCCTCTCGATATTTTTGCTACTATCACCGTTCGATGGTTGCGCCAGGTTCAGGATTTACAAGGTGTGTGTGGAGCTTGCGCGGCAGCAGGCCGAGAAGCCGGAATGGCCACCGGCCAGGGCTTGTGCTCAGGCAGCGTGTGTGCCTGTCGCGCCTGTGTCTTAGTTTCTTGGTCGACCGGTAGTGGTGCTTCCTGCGGCTGCGTGAGGTGGATGTTGGGCTGTGGGCATAAAGCATTGTGCAGCAGTGTTGTTGCGGTCCTCAGGCTTTGAATGAAATAAAGCTGCTCTTGCGAGAAGATTGTACCGGACACTTCATGCTCAAACCATCCTTGTATCCAGTCCGCACTGAAACCGTAAACTGTCGGTAGTACTGCGCTGAAGATGCTGACAGCTCAAAAGGACAATCATGCGGTCAGGCCCTTCAGTCTCAGGATAGTTCTAGACCAGCTAGCTCTGCGCTCCCACCTGCATTGGTAGTCTCTGGACGACCTGTCACAAGCTGAACGGTCTTGAATGGAGTTGGGTTGACGCCCACCGACATGGCATGGAAACTAGCGCCAAGACTGCACACTGTGTCAAGAAACAAACCCTCGATCATATTCGGTGCGGCTTCTCGTGAGTAAATCGTAGCCCCAAGGCTGAAGACTAGTCGGCAAAAGCTCCAGTGCAAAACACACACACACATTGCACGTCCTTGCTTTAAGCTCAAGGCTTGACGGCGGTTTGGGCACCACCAGCGCCTGCAGTCTCACTCCTGGCACTGGGGCAGAGTCAATGATCGATAAGTCGATAAGTAGCTTCGTTCAAGAAGTTTGGCAAGCCCAGCCTTTGGATGTTCTTTCCTGCAGCACCTGTGAGATCTGTTGGCAGTGCAGTTGAGAAAGTGATCAGCGAGAAGGTTGCATTGAAGAGCCTTCATTCCAGCAGACTCAATGATTGCTGTCGTGGAAAGCCTCTTCTTGGCCTTGGCCTGCACTGCAGAAAAGTTTCGACATCGCCTTCGTGGTCTCATGTGACGTGCCTTGTTTGGCGAAGGCTTTCGCTTGGAACGGTCGGCCTCCAAGCGCGTTGGCACGGCAGGAACATCTGGCGGCCGACTTAGTCTTTCAACCATTGCGCAGAGACTTGCCACATGGCATGAATTTGCACACAGCTGAGAGAAATTGGAAAGCAGCTCAATCCGCTAGCGAGATAGCTCTGCCGCTTTTTCGCAAGCAGACATGTTCAGAAGCTTTGGAGTGGGGTCCCGAAAGAAAGGAGCTCCAACTGCAAATTCGCTGGCCTTGTTCTTGCTCTGCTCTGGCTGCGTGGGCTTGGTGCTGCAAAATTGCAGGAAGTCCTGGATGCGAATTGAACCTTGGATCTCATCTCATGGTGGGCAATGTACCTTCAGTACATTTCTCTGCATTCAAGGTTCCGTCGTTTGACTCATCCTTAGCCGACGTCATCAGAAGCTCATGCAGACCAGTTCATGAACACGAGCTCGACGAACTCGAGATAGCTCGAGCAGACGAGACTCCACAGTCAAGAACATTTCTCGCTCATCGAGTCCGCTGATCAGAGCCAAGTCAAGGCCCACAAGGCTCATGGCCATCCTAAGCCAGGAAAACAGAGGAACATACCGTTACTTTCAGACTCTCAGATCTCCGGCTGTCCAACCCGAGCTGCTGACGCGAACTCCATGGTCGTTATGATCCCAGTGCGGTTTACGTCAAGCACCTTCTGCGCCTCTCAGAAGCAAGAAAAGGCCAGTTTCCCAGCTTTCTGAGGCCAGTGCCTGCCTTGCCTGCTCCAAACCTCCGAAGAGGAAGTCGAACGACTTGCACAAGGCATCGAAGCCTTGTGCGCACTTCTGCTCTTCCTCAGCTTCGGGACAAGCACAGCACATATTACGGAGCAAGGAATTCTAGTGATCTAGTGCAGCTTACTGTTACGATCAGTTACGGCTACTGTTCCTGCTGCTAGCAACAACATAGATCTCGTCATCGCCGTTGTTCTTGTGGTTGTTTCTGCAGTAGTGAAGCCATGTTGGGTCTGACCTCTATAGATGCCAAAGCGATATACTCCTTATTGATCTTTCCCCTCTCCAATCTTCAAGTACCACAGACCAGGCGCCAGCAATGCGTACAGATTTCCAATGACCTTGCAATCTCAACGAGAGGCACTGACATTGTCTGTGTCTTAGAGAGCACCTGCAAGGACTCAATCTGTCCTCGTCTGGCACCGGTTTCCTGCAACTCCTCAGGACCGCCATCAGCACGACAGGTGCTCAGCATTTTGTGCTATGGACAAACTTACAAGCATGTAAGCGGCCGTTTAAGTCGAGGCTATGTTCATGCACTCCACGTGATCGGAAAGCCGTGTGGCTTGCTGCAAGCACCGCGCTGCTACCTGACCATTGAGCTGTCCCGGATGTCAACCCATTGGAACACGGACTGCTTGCGTAAAAGCAGCTTCAGCAAACTGTCCCGAGCCTTCAGCTGCTGCCACCTCGGTGGGCTTGGTTCCGACAAAGATGTGATCTCGCCGTCCGCAACTGCCTGTGTCTTATGCGGCCAGGGGCAGGATGTGCACACCAATACAGCTCGGTTGGGCAACTGGAGTGCCGACTACGGTATCGGTGTCAGATAGCTCCGGCACACGCAAGGTTGTTCCACCCAGTATCGGCATTTCTCATACTCGATTTATTCAATTTCCACAACTCGACAGACTCACCATGCATGATCTCCGAAGACACCGGCTACATGTCTTCTGAGGTGGTAACATGACAATCAAGTTGCACGAGCGCCGCCTTCACCATAAGAGGCAGGTCAAGGCGAAACAGCAAGCGCACGTCAGCTTCCTGCCGATATGATTCTTGCAAGAGACCGTGCTCTCTTACCTACAAGCTACACTGTGTTTCCATGGTTCCCCGGCAAAGGAGTGCTTCAGGAATCTTTGCACCCTAGAATCACGAACACACCAACTATCAACCCTTGTTTATCCAACAAGAGACGGAAAACCGATCCATGCTGTTTTGGCAATGTGCTTCAGCAACGGAATAATTCATAAAGTGCCCATCGAAGTTGGAATCTGCGGTGTGCCGCAGCGAAGCCTGGCTTCCGCTTTTCCACACGACAGCTTGGAAGCAGAAAGGCCGCGAACCGCGAAGCGGGAAACCGACGCTGCAAGAACCGTGCAGGCAACGAGCCGTAAAAACCGCAGCGCTGGACAGTTCCAAATTGCACAGTGGCAAAACCCCTGCATGATTCTCAAAAAGCATCAGAGCGAGTAAGGCATCAAACTGGGCAAAATTTGGGTTCCCTCACAACGCAGAAAAGGCAGGCTTGTTGAGGCCAGCGATGCATCAAGTTTCGGTTTCAGGTGTTGGGTTGAGGTTTAGGGTTGTAGTTTGTGTTTCGTCAGAAAACCAATAAGGAAACGCTCGAACCGCCGAACCGAAGCGCACAAACCGAATCGTGTTACGAACCGCCACCGGTTCATCAAAGGTTCGGCTCATGGCAAACCGAACAGAATGGAACCGTGGCAACCCTGTTGAAGCTGTTCTGTGCTAGGCAAAACGAAGGTACGGAACGTCAGTGGCGTAGCTGTAATGGCTCTGCGAGTTCGAGCCGTGGCGTGGGCAGCGCAGACTATGTCGGAACCGTCTCATGGAAACATGAAAGAGTGCTGTCAGTCCTGATATGCCTCGACAGACTCACGACAATGCCGGATGCCTGAAGCGCATGTGCTGCTGGCCTTCGCGACCCCAACTTCTGTTTTGTGTACGTCCCTCGCCGAAGCGATCCTCCTTTGTGCTGTTGCTGGTATATCATGGTCTGACCTTCCCTCCGTCTCTGATGGGGGCCAAGCCCGGCAAGCCCTGGCAAGTCTTTGTCGACTTTCTATTGGCTGTACATTGCCTTGGCCGATAGGGTAAGAACTGCAGGCACATTTGCCACTATCAGTCGACCGCCCCTGCTTGTGGTACCATGAGTCTCTGCAGCTTCTGATCACGGCCGTCTCTCGCTGAGCTCAGCCCTCGCACCTGGTCATGCTTGTGCCAACTGCAGCCTTGGGACCACGTTGTTTGACTCGCAGGGCCAATTCTGACCACGATGAAAGCTGTAGATCGCTGACCCATCATCCGTGCCGAGCAGCAGCTCAGCAACATCAGAGCCGCGGACAAATCAGTGCAAGGGCCAAGACAATGAAACTCGGCGGCTCGCCGCGGTACACCCGTCTATACAAGTCGAGCACACGGATCAGGTAGCTTTCTAGCATAGTATGTTGCAGAAACTACAAGCTCGGAGCTCGCGGCTCGAGTCCAACCTCCACCGACATGGAGAAGGAGTACTTCATTGGAATCTTCGATGGACTTACAGCTCCACCAGTCTGTTCTCCGTTTCTGATGTCGTTACATGTCACCGTTCAGCGGGTCCTGCATTGCCCTTTGCAGGGCATTTTGCCACTGTGTGCGTGGGGTGGCCGTCTCATCTGCCTGGCACTAAAAGCCATCTCTGTCAGAAGCACTGTGCCGCTGACTACTCCAAATGAGCTGCATGAAATTGCCGTGATGGCAACAAGCTGTCGCACCGTGCCTGGACGGGGTCAGTCGAAGCGTCCGGGCGCACGTCGTGACCAGAGTCTGGCAGGCTTCCCTAGAGTCTTACCCGAAACAGAACATGACCCTGTGTCCTGCCAGTGCGGGTTCCTGACCGAGCCCACCAGGTCAGTTTGTAACCCACCAAACGGGGTCAGCATGGCACAGGCAAGCGGGGGACTAAGATGGCAACATACTCTCTGGCTGCTCGTGCAGTCACGAGCGCTGCGCTGTGGAACACCAGGCCCTACGACCGAGAACCGTAAATACTAAGCCCTAAAGCCCGAAACCCGGAATGAAAACCCGAAAACCCTAAGCATGCAAGGTTTAGGGTTTAGATACATATATATATATATATACATATGTATGTATACAATATAATATAATATAACATAATACAATACATATATATATATATATATACAAATATATATATATATATATGTATATACATATAGAATACAACTCGATAAACCAGCCGCTAGCAACAGGAATTGCTAAGAATCGGAAAGCAAACATCGGCACCGACTCGACTCCCTGCGCCTACGCCTTCTTCGAACCAGGTAGTGCTCATACCCGGTGGCAGAAACATGCGGAAACCAACATGGACAGCCAGCCGCTAGCAACAGGAATTGCCCAGAATCGAAATGCAGTCAATCAGGTAGTGCTCAGAACCGGTGGCAGAGACTAAAATGGCTCCCCACTCAACGCTCCTGGGCATTTAAGTTTCGCCGCATAGACCGGAACATACCCGAACTCAAATGAGAATCTAACCCTACATGCCAGTTGGGGGGGCGTTTCAGTCAAAAAACATGGGTTCCGGGTGGTCTTCCCCCGTCATTTAAGCTCGGCCGTACGCAGGGTCGTAACGGAACAATTTGACACACACACACACACGCAGGCCGACATTGTTTTTCGATGTTGTCTGGCTTCTGACTGACTGAACCTGACTCGCGGGCATCTACCTGCATTCAGACTACGGCTCGCACCCTGCGTACACTTGAGCATCCAGAGTTTGGCTCTTCTGTCATTTGTCGCAATGAGCCGAATTGAACCCAACATCACGGCACGCCTACCACAGCTTTCGAACTGAACCGGCATTTCGAGCCTGTGCTTCCTCGCCCTTGGTCGGGACCCTGCTCTTTGCTCGCATTTTCATCTGGCAAGCCTGGCATCGATCCAGGAGGGCTCTCTCAGGTGGACGGGTCCCAGCCTGAGTCCTCCTGGGCCAGCTCAACCTCCAAGGTGCTGCTGCTTTCAGAGGGCGAGAGACGACACCTCCACAGAGTCAATCTCGCTTTGTCTCTCTTCAAGTCCATCCGCCTTGAGTTCGAATGGGCGAGCTTTGGCGAAAGCCTGGCAGCGCGGGCATGAGAAACAAAGTCATTACGCCGACTCCGCTTCAGCCAAGTCTCTGTGATAGTCCTGGCAGAATTCCGGACTCGCCTCTGCCTGAGAGTCTTAGAGAGCGGAGAGAGCTGAGGCTTGGCGCTGCATCTCTGCGTGCAAGGGACGCAAAGATGGCTCCGACGACGACTTGTACATGTCCCAGCCGTCTCCGGAGGCCCGTTGCAGCTGTTTCCTCCCCAAAGACGAGTGAGTCGAAACAGCAGTTAAATCTTTGCGAGTGCACGCGGCGATCCTCTGCCACCCCTTCCTTCCACCTGTTCCCATAGCAGAAGCAGCTGGCGAGCCATGTAGCATCCTTCATTTAGCTCTGAACGATCACATCCCGAATGCTTTCGCATGGACTAGCTACTTGTCGCCTGCGCCGCCATGCCAGGCCAGTGCCAGCGGGCTCGATGTCAAGCGAGATGTTGGTAACGTGTGCCATCTCAGCAAGGGTCCATGTGGAAAACCATTACATGCTCCTCAAGCCTGTGTTTTGCAGTGTGACATGTCAATCTTTGAACGTAGCTGTGGTCATGCATGGTCACGCATGGTCTTGCTCGGCTCATGTCCGTCCACTCTCCCCGCCATCTTTGGAGGCTACTTTCTATTATCTGGTCCAGCATGATGAAGTCTAAGCTTGTCCTCCGATCCAACATGTCCTTGTCACTAGGGCCGGTATTCCGAAGCACCATGGACCGCACTGATCGGAATGAGTGCAGGTGCCCCCGCTCAGTTGGTGCACGTTGCGCACTGCTACTGGCACTGACATATACATATTCTGGGATTGGAGGGGAGTTGGTTGCACCGCCTTCATGAGTGGAGACGTTTGCTGACCCAGATACTAGTTTTGGCTCCTTGTCATTTCCATCGGAAAGCCAAGGCCCTGTCCACGGAAGCAGCGGCGTTTCCGAAGGGGTTCAAGATCCTCTAAGCAACACCGATGAGAAAACTGGAAGCTTCACTTAGTTTCTAGGATGTCTTCGGAATGCCTGACGAAACTTATGCTTCCGTAAGAGCAGGTCAGATTTCGCTCCATGCAAGAAGCGGCTTCGTTCAGGCCTGCTGGCGATTGTTTTGGATATTTGTGCTGAGACCAGCGACTGTTGTTGAATTTGTGTATCCGTCGCTAGCCACGCGCAAAACTTTTCTGAGCATTTATAGGGACGTGCCGTGCTACTGCCTTGGAGCTCGCCAAAGCCTTTTGACACGGGACACAGTCACACTTCAGGTTGGCCATTGCAGCATGCTGTGGGCATCCTCCGAACGTCAGCGTAGGATCATGGAAGGACTTTCCCTCATTGCTTGAGCTCACATCGTGCAGCTCTCGTGCTTGATGCAACAGCACTTGTTTTTGACCAGGAACCGAAACGGTTTTTGAAGCCTCTCAGTCAGGGCTAGCTAAAAGTTGCACATGCTGCTATGAGAAGTGCCAATTTCAATCCGAGCTCGTAGCTCTGCCAATAGAGCAACCAACTAGGCTAGTATGCGGGGTCGTGGCCACAGCCGCAGCAGCTTCCAGATTTCATAATACCGCTTGATGCTAGATGATGAACAAACAGCTCGCAATTTCATTAGCATCAGATTTGCGAATTGTCCTCCTGCAAAGATCAGGGTTCGTGGCGAACATTGGTCATACTGAAGCACTTTCAACAGAAGAAGTCTAACAAAGCAATCGCCGGCTCTTTCGACTGCTGCCCCGCGAGCATCTTGTTGAGTTTGTGCAGCGCGCCAGTGCGCGAGCGTGCGCGAACATGCGCAAGCTACACAGTAGCTACACAAAGGGTCTTCCCAGCGACCTACGCCGCTGCACGGCGATGTTCTGCAGCAGTCTTAGCGGCTTGATGGGACCGCGAAACGATCGGCCGAATGCTGTCAACACCTCGTTCAAGTCGCTTTCACAGCCTCTCGGGCATCTGCGACTTGCATCTGTGCGTTGCCGTACATTGCCAGCAAGTTGAAATCAACATTGGCTCCGCCTGCAGGTGAGTTCCAAGTGATAAGACACCAAGCTGTCAATGCAGCTTTTACCTAATAAACGATGGTTTCTCGCCTGAGCTGAAGCACAGCTGGAATGCTTGGCTGAAAGCTGAGCATCATGAAATTCTGACCCCAGTCGCGTGGAAACAACAGAAGCCTGGCAACTCCAGGATCTGCGGTGAAGCACGGTGACTGGTCGAACATGCAAAAAGGGTGTATGCTGGATTCGTTTGAGGTTTTCGCAGTTGGGCCTTCGCTACTTGATAACCTTGATTCTAGCATGTTATGCCATGCTGTCCATGTTTACAACAGCATCGAAGTTTTCATGGGAAGCGTGACCAGACTGCCCATCTTGATCGACCAGCAAGCAAAATCGCTCAAGCACTATGCCGGGTGAGCGATGGAAAATGAGTACTGTCCCAGAAATACCTGGACTGTGCTATCGAGCAAGCAGGTGTGCAACTCTATCAAGGTGGGTATTCATCAGAAACCGGCCTCACACCTTTGAGCTCGTATGCAGAAAACCCAAGTCGGAAAATCCGTGTCATGAGGTTCCCCTTCGGGGGAGCCCTTTGCCGACGTGCCGAATCAGCCCACGGATCACATTTCACAGCAACTCATGTCTCCGACATTCGCAGACACGGCTGCAACTTTGGCTCAGCTGCTGTTTCGGCACGGAATCAGCTTGCGATCTCTAACTATGGGATGGGACAAGCTTCCTGTGGCCGTAGATGCAAAGCAATACTACGGCATGTATATATATATATATATATAGATACATACAGTCAAAACCATAAATTGAATGTGTGAACTTGGACCGGACGATGCGCAATCAGGCCGGAGCAATGTCCCGCAGCAAAAAGGTGGTATGATTTGACTTCTTTGTTGCTAAGAGCAAGATGTCGTTGAAGCTTCGCCATCCCCACCTGGACGAAAGAACATCTGACGCACCCCTCATAGGCATTCATAGGTCACAAAGATAATGCCAATGCAAAGGGCAAGAATGGCTTTCAAGTGTCCGAAACAGTACAAGCTGAGAGGTGCTCCGTATTTGAACCCAATGCAGCATCAAAGCATCGACCTCGCAAATACTTGCATGGCTCTGCTGGGGATCTACTGTGCCTGCAACCACACTGGCTTAGGCCATGACAATTTGACGGTGGGGCATCTGTTTGCTGGCTGCGACGCAGATGTTGAACCCACCTCCCAAAAGGCAGGCGTCTGAATCCTGCAATTCCGCTGACTGAACCGTTGCAAACGACATCTGTTCTACCTCCAAGGATCCTTGCAACTAGAGTGAGACTGCAGCATATGACGCAAAATTTCGGAATCCTGCTCTGCCAGGAACTTAGCGTGCCGGCGGTACCCAGTCATGTCTCTCAATTTTGTAGCTGTTGTGATAATCTGCCTCGGCATGGGGGACAAGTGCTGAGCTGAGCTGTGCACATAAGCATTGGCATGGGAAGTGCAACAAACATGTTGGGAGCGGACACTCCTGTTTTCTGGCCGGCTTGTAGGATGGGTTGATCTTGAGGAGGAAACAACAGAAACTGTACTTAAAAGATGCTTCCGCTGCCGCCGCTGCGAACCAATCCGATCTTGCAGATAAACAAATCGGCCTACACCGTTGCAACTGCTAAAGGATGGGATCGATCCGAAGCATCAAAGAGAAATACAGATGTCCTCCTCCACCGCTTCCAGTCGGAACTGAATCCACCGGGCGGGTGGGCCATAAAAAGGTACATGAGCATGGTGTTGCTTGCAATCGTTGTTCACAACATATAACCCGCTACGAGCCAATCTACCTGGACGGGCTCTACACAGATTTCCATGTTGAGCGGACACTCCAGGTTCTTAATCTCGTGCTTGTAGAACGAATTGATCTTGAAAAGGAAACAACAGAACCAGTACTTTAAATATGCTTCCGATGCCGCCGCTGCCAACCAATCCGATTTTGCAGATAAACAAAACGGTGTGGTGCAACTGCTAAACGATGGGATCGATCCGAAGCATAGGAGAAAAACAAAAATGTCCTCTTCACCTATCCCTCATTGCACCGGTAGCGCACGCCTGAAACCACGTGGCAGGGGCGGACACTTTCGTTTGCAAAGTCTTCTGTTGATGAGGAAGGGGGCACATCCCCCCCTGTCCGTCCCTGTCAAGTAAATAACACACAGGAATGCTGGCATCCGCCAGCCTTCCATGCACCGTCACCTACTCCATCTAGGTAGGGCACACAAAGCTGTGAAAATGTGCGGCACCTGAACAACCGGACGCTGCAACCTGACAGTAGCAAGACATGTGCACACAGGTTGAGTGAGGGTTCTATGTGTGCGGCGGCCATATCCCATCCTACCCCGTCGCGGACAACCCGCCCCACCTGGCTGCAGCCGTCAACAGACTCAGACTCCAATCTCATCTTACACACTGGACGATCTCTTGTCTGATTGGACAGCTGTTTGAACGAAATCTCGGTTTCTGTGGCCATCGAAACTTGATCCTCATTCAACTGTAAATGTCTCACCACAGCCGCAAAATCCTGTGAATATATACGAGCAGTAGACGTGCCTGACCATCGTCCACGTAAGAAGGTTTTCTCCATGCTGCAGTGGAGCAGGAAGTTTCAGGTCGAGCCCGCGCGGCGCAAACTGTAAACAGTAAGAAGCCCCTGAACCTGGAGCGTTGCGATGAGCTTGTGAAACGACTTTCGAAAGAAACGTTTTCCACGAAACAGCAGCTTGTCTGCTGGATGCAGCTCGCAGGACGCCTGGCGCAGCCAAAACACTGCACATCCGGACTCCACCACACCCACTTCGTTGGCCCCTGTTCGCTTTCCAGACTTGCTCTTGCCCAGGCAAAGCACAGCTTTATGTCACAAGAAGGAAATATCTTTGCGATACAAACTATACAGCTCACCAGAACGTAGCATGCAATCAAAGCCAATCAGAAAAGCCGCGGCTCCCGAAAGAAAACCCATTCGTACTGCTGCACCGGCAAAAGCACCGACCAAGAACGGCGAAATTGGAGGACGCGCAATAGTGGTTCAAGGCGCTGCCAGACGTTGGCTAATCGCCAAGCCTGTTTTAACTTGCCAACACAAGCGGGCAAGAAAAACTGTAATCCTGCCAAAGCGACGTCACCAGTGATTTATGTTCACCTTTCGAATATGTCGCTTCTACAAAGCAACAAACGGATTCATCAAAGTTGTCCCGTGTCAGGCTCCCACTGCACATGCCTGCAAGGAACAACAGAACGTGGGAAACTGGCTTTGCATAACGGCCTTGTATGTGTTCAGAAACCATTTGCGACTTCAGATCTTTGCCCTTGCGGCTCTTCTTTCTTTCGTCTTTTTGAGTACTCGTGAGAGACCGCCCCATCTTGACCGAATATCTGAAGGGTTCGAATCAGTCGAAACATAACCAACTGCCAAAACCAAACCGCTAGCCAACACCAGCGAGTTCAATTCCTTTCGCCTTCTTCTCAGACGAGAGCTACTGCTGCGTCCTTTGGCGATAATGGAGCACACCATTTGATTGTCGATTAGATGCAAAACACGCCACCGTCCACTCCCTGTTCTTCTCAACCTCCGTTTGAATCCATTGATCACAGCTTGCAGATCAACAGCGTTGACATGTGCTGAATGTTTCCACACATAACTATGAACCACTGACCAATGGAACTGTGACGAGTTTAATCCCCGCTCGCGGCCACGCACGAGCCTGGAATGGCACTCCCACATCTAACCTAATGTCAGAACCACCCCTCTTTGCCTGTCGACAAAAATGCTTAAGCAGATCTAGTACCTCTGGTGTGTTGGCTGCCCCTTCGACAAAGCGCGGATGCAAAAGCACAGAAGGTGGAGCATCCGACATTTGCTTGACGAGTTTGTGATGTTCTCGCTTTCCCGTCCCACCAAACAACCCCAGAAGTGAAAGGCACAGCATGACCAAGACGTGGACACATAAGTTCTTTCCCAACATGGGCAGCCACCCATCAGCAATCCATTCCATTGGCAATTTGGTTCCAGCCAACCCTCAGCTTCATCCCGACACCATGGAAAACGGCAGACCGCATATCCCCCATGGTATTCCATCTCTTCACCTGGTTGGGCCAGAGGCACCCAAGAACGTAAACCACCTAGCGTCAAGGAGGATAGGCTCAACCTGAAAAGCTGCGCTGAACCAATCGCGGTCTGCATCACGAAGCGGTATCACGTTGTCAACGAAGTAGTGTACCGGAACCAGAAAACAGGATACAAAAGTTGAGTATCTCGAAGCAACTCATGAAACAACCAGGCTCGTGTGACTCATTGCTTCCTCGATCTACTTCGTTTTCCTTGAGAAGGACAACTCGCCCCCCACCACCACGAAGTCAATGTGGCCCCCAACTGATCGTTGCAGAAGCTCAATCACTTGTGCGTCGATGTTTGAGATATCACCTAACCCAATGACCACAGGCCAACGCTTGCGGATCACCCGTTTTCTCTCCCGGTCCTCATATGCACGGCTCCCGGGCAAAGTAGGTCTTCTCGGGGGATACGCCGACCATGCATTCTGGAATCAACTCCAATTGTCGCCCAAACTTCTCAGAGTTGTCCCTCACATATGTAACCTGGCATTTGACCCTCTGCATCAAGATATCCCGCACAGCATCAACTTTCCCCTTCAGCAGAGCATCCAAAGCCTGACAAGAACTCCCTGAACTTGCTCTCGCCGATGGCCTTCACAGACAGGGTGAGCCGGCAAGACCATGGTCAGGAGATAGCGAACCATAATCGGGCTCATTGCATCCAAAGTGTCAGCACCTGTGGCCTGTCCCAGCTGCTCCTGCATGGACTGCAAGCCTGCAAGCAGGAGCTTGCCCGGCTTCTCCTCCGCGATCTTCCGAAGTTTGCGCCTTTTCTGCTCCCAACGGGAGCCCCCGGTGAACCCCAGCTCTTCCTCATCATCATCAGCCTCCTCGTTGCTCTCATCTGAGGTAGCTGCGTCTTTATGCCAATTGAATAGAGTTGGCCACCGAGTCCCACGTCCGTGCCTTCTTCGGCTTGACCTTCGAGCACGGCCCACCCGGCCAACACCGAACCCGGCCCTTTTACTCGGGCCTCGGCTTGCAGCTTCGTCCTCAGCTGGCCCAACTTCTTCTCAACCTTGGCGTCCTTAGTCTTTTCCGTGGAGTTCCCCAGGCCATCCTCCAACATATAACATCAAGAGCGGTGTGCTCTTTTCTCGCCTTGGGCCAAGCCTTCGTGCGCTTCTTCTTGACCGGTCGCGGCTCCTCTGCTTCGGTCTCCTCTTTATCATCTTCTGCCTCAGCGTCCTCGGCGATGTCACATGAGGCTCGCTGTGAGCAACGTGCTCAGGTGCAAACTTAGACAAGCCCCAGGACTCCAGTAAGCCACTCGCCGCGGTTCTTGAATTCGGGGTCCACTTCTGGATATGAACAGCATCATTCATCTTGAGGTTGTGGTGGCACGGCATAGATGGTGGTAGGCTTTGGCAGGCAACCCGCCTGCTTTGCCTTCATTATCAATAAACCACTGATAATAGGAGCTGTCCGTGCTATAATACTTCAAGTCGATGAACATGCCGCACCTGTTCACTTCGTACTTGGCAGTAACTTCCCCTACAGCCAGCCCAAACCTCTCAAACCGATCGACAAGCACCTCGAACACCATGAAACCGAAATTTGACCCACCCGGAAATTTAACTCACCGATGGCGGCCCCGTCTTGCAGCTCGATTCCTGCGTCGTCTGTGCCAGAACCGCGTCGCCCCTGGCCATCACCACGCAAGCTGCGGGGCATCAGCCCCTGACCCCAAAGCAGGGGACCACCCTAAAGATAGTCCTTGATCCATAAAAGGCTACATGAGCACGGCGTTGCGTGCAACCGTTGCTCACAACATACAACCCGCTACGAGCTAATCTACCTGGACGTTAATATATCCATGCTTAGGAACATCATTTGCATCAGGCAGATTCACACTTTCGGGGCTCTTTTGGCTTGTGAATGCTCCAGCTCCTGAAGCTCAATTTTGATGGGTTGCCTGGCCTGTTGTTGCTTTACAGCTTTGCTGCAGATGTTGAGCCAGCTAAGGTACTGGATCTTAGCATCTGAATGTTTGGTGTTGTGCACGAGACGAACTTACAATTTGAAGAACAAGCACGGCTGATCACGACTGCGCCTTGGGCATCAGGCTACCGAAGAATGCTCGTGTCGATTGCAGTCCACTCCACCTTCCACTCCGAAGTTGAAGATATTGGACCATCATTCACGGCTATTTAACAAGCTCATGACGAGGATGTTTCCTGCCTCTGAAACGGGCCGTCATGCAGCTCGTCCACCTGGCACGGGTGAGAGCACCGGTGAAACAAGATTAACCACCCAGCCAGGCAGGCATCAGCCAGGGGCATCTCGGGTGAACGTCGACCTTCCTCACTACGTTGAGATGCCGCCTAAGTGTGCTACGCTTGCCTTGCACGGAATCCTGCCCCATGTCTCGAACTTGGCCCGGGTCCAGAAACTCGTAGCACATTCTCGCCACGACAAAGTTCGTCCTCGAAAGGTAGTCGTAGAGAAAGACGGTCAAGTTGCGACACTGATCCGGCAGAACGCACTTGGCTTCGCCCTTGCATGCCGCACCTGTCTTGCTGTGCATCCATCAAAGGATCATGCTGCCTGGCCTTTGCCAAAAAGGCATCCTCCGGGGGCATAGCAGCAATGATTCTTGCAAAAGTAATCCTACTTGTCGCAACTAGCCTGTCTGCGAAAAATATGAAGCAGTCCAATTTGTGTCGCAAGTCGTGCTCTTGTCACAAAACACTTCCAAATTTGAAGTCGGGTCAGCCTTAAGCTCTGTGGGAGATGCGCCGCGAGTTGCACCCAGCATTTGATGGCAGTCGATGTCCGGCACCTTCGAGACTCGACTCAGTGACATCTCAGCGACTTCCAGTGTCAAGAAACCTTGGCTTCTTCCATTCGTGCCTTTGGACTCCGAGCATCTTCTTACTGGGAGTCTGGAATTGTGCATGGAAGACCGCACACGATTGCACCTGCGGCATGGTCCGCAAGAAGCTCGGCCTCAGCAACAGATGCCCGGTGCTCGGATGATGCTGACCGGCGACACACCAAGGCCCAATAGCTCTGAGAACCAGGCGCTTCTGACGCAAGCGGCGCCCACCAAGGCCTGATCCGACGGAACCCGTTGGATTTGAGGTTGGGCGAAGCGGCCGAGTGGCTCGGAGAGGCTTCGAGCGGCCTCTGCGTCTCCGCGACCAGTTTGGTGGCCTTGATCCTTCGAGCCTGCGATTGCAAAGTGCTGGGGAACCTATTTCCAAGGTCATCAGAAGAAATGCTTTGAACCAACTGATACCAGCTGTTTCTCGAGCCCGGCCCCCCCTCCTGAAAAATGCTGCTCTGCGGCAGGCCGTGGACACATCCGTTCTGAGTGCGACGGTTTGTTCCCCTCGCAGTGGCTGCACGACCCAATGCCCCTTTCAAGGGTGGCGTGTGTGCTTGGGAGCCCGGGTATGTTCTGTCGGAAATCGGGCTGCACTCAGCACGTTACACCTTCCTTCGTGTCGTGGCATCTGAGGCGAAGCGAGCAGGAGCTGGTGACCCGGTGCTCTTAGGCGCACGTGTCGCGCAACACTCCTGCAGATGTGGTGCCTGGAGGGCCATGAGCCGGCGCTGGGACTTCATTGCCTGGCACAAGAAAACAAGGCATGTGCCGCACAATGCGTTGCTTTGCAGGTCCGGACCTGAAGAGCAGTCGGGGCCTCGGACTTGCAGCACAGCTGTACAATGCCAGAGCATGTTGTGACACACCCACTGCTTGCGAACTCTTGTGAGTCTTTAGGTGGCGACCATCGCAGTCCGCGGTGCAACACAACAGGTCGATGGGGCAGAAAAAAATTCCCCCGAATGACTTGATCTCGAGGATGCCACGTGGGGCCGTTCATGCACACCAGCAATGGCCACATGTGCTCGAAGCTCGGACATGTGAGCGGACGATGCTTTTTCACGCATCCAGCACAATTAGCGCTTATTCAAACGGTCCGGGATGGTTGGGTGTAGAAAAGCCAAAGGAAGCTGTGAGGTCAAAGTCCAAGAGCTCCCCCTCCCACGCCATCAGGTGACCCCGAGTCACTCGAGCCGGAGCCCGAATCCGTCTCTTCACGTCTAGGTCCTGCGCAAGATCACATGCTCAGGTGAGCCCTGTCTTCGGAATCGAGAGCGCGACGTCCTTGCGTCTGCGGAGGCCCGGATGCTCTCTCGGGCAGGCGCAAAGCGGCTCCTGTGATGCCTGAGTCTGACTACTACAGGGAGTGACATAGTCTCCAATTGTCTTTCCCTTGCCCCGAGCCTCAGGCCGAATGACAGACCTAGCCCAAATGGAATGCCCTCGCCTGTCGACATCCCTAAGGGCCGCCTCTGTCCTTCGCGCGAATGTCTCTCACGTGCGCTACAACCAAGGATCTTGAAGGATGTTCGCTTCCTGCAATCCCTGTTTTTGGAAGCCCACTCCTTGCAGACTTCTGCCTGCGGGCTCGGTGCCGGTCCTTTCTGGGCAGAGACAGGGAGAACAGAGGCTTCGCGAGACACACCAAGTCCATGGCCGCTTCGGCCGAACTGGAGCTGCCGTTCGCGTGTCTGAGCAATTTGGGATTCTGCCATGGCCAGGACATGGCCATGGCCAGTGCAGGCATGCCTGGACGCTCCCAGTGCGACTTCCAATCTGCCCAGGCCGGTGGCACCGAGGACATGCGCTTCAGCAGAGCGGACCTCGGTAACATGAATGCCAAGCTGATCGCTGCTAGTGCTCGCTGAGGCTTCGACCAGTTAACGCGAGTGATGCTGAGTGCTGCAGATGCCCCGGGCCCTGAAAAGCGAAGAGAACGCCTCAGATCGCCTTCGGAAGACCCCAGGCCTCTGCCAGCCGCGATGACTGCGGAAAGTGCCTGAACGCTTGCGAATGTAATCAACGCACCTTCCATATGGGAAAAGCTATGGTGCCTGCAGGGCATTGTCGGGAGATATCTTGGGTGCCCAGAAGCCGGGTCCTCCCACTCCGCTTCGAGCAGCCATACCTGAGCTTGTTTGCATTCCGAAATATCGGCTCGACCTACTCTCGAAGCCGGGGTATTCCCAGCCACCACCTTTGCACTCCGGTTGGAACTATATATTCCCGGTGTGATCCTGGACCACAAACCTGGGAGGATTAGGAATGCCTGGGCAGTGGAAACTTCCAACACAACAGAACACTTGGCATTGAAAGCCATGCTGCCCACATCTGCCCATGGACCCCACTGCACACTGAGTGCAGGCAAACCTGTGCAAGCCAAGAAGACATGAGGCTCCCGAGTCTCTCGAGTGGCCTCTTGCTTGCCGGAACAAGGCGAATGAATCCAGGAATGAATTCGCAGCTGCATAGTTTCCCTGCCTCGCAGCTGTAAGCACGCAGCACGCTCTGGCTGCTTCTCTTTGCAGAGTACAAAGGCAGGCGGGCCCTGGTGAGCCCAGCAGCGCAGCAACTGACGAAAAGAGGAGAAAGTGCTCGATGTCTGCCGAGGACAAGGATTCCTGTAGCGAACTGGCGACCAATGATGGCAACAAGAAAAAACAAATCGCACAACTCAGGCTGACACATGCAGATTGATAGCGCCATCCTGCAAAGGGGGACAAGGGCGATCCCACCACCCGTATCTGCAGTGCGCTGTCAAGACTTCTAACTCTGCTAAGATCGCGATGGCGCTCCATTTTGGGCGAAATCACAGTGGCGAGGTGATCGGACTGCAGGTGGGCGATTGCGTGGTCCTAACAAGTGGGAACAAACTTTCACTGCAGACCAGGCACACCGATACAATCGCAGTAATCCTGTAGCAAGCCTGCCGCATGCAAGACACCTGCGACACTTTGGAGGTAGAGTGGTAGCTGATTCTTTTTGTCACTTTGATGCCATCAGCACAACGCGATGCAATCCTGAATAGCAACAAGATCTTCTAAACCAGCTGCCCGCGAAGTGATCAATCACTACAGTCACTTCAGTCAACGAAGAACGGCGATGCATTTCAATCCGACCACCAGCCTTTGACCGACACTGCATCGCAGTCTTTCAGAGCAGCCAGCATCTCATCCACCTGACAAACTGCGCGAGGTCTTGCTATGATACAACCATGATGCATCCTGCAACATCTGCCACCGACTCTAGTGGAACAAATAATTTCTTTGAAGAGTGGAGGTGTCAGCAGGTGTCGGCCTCCTTCCGGACAGAAACGTCGCACGCTCGAAGACACACTCGGAGATCGGGGGCTTCGCACCTTTCTCCGGCTTGTCTTCGCCAATGTACGATGCACTGTGCCTCTTGCTCAGAACAAATCCGAGTTGCAATTCTTCCAGAGCCTGCCTTTGTGTGTCTTCCTGCAGGCTGTCGCTGAGACTTGGACAGCTACTGGCAAAGCCAATGAAGGCCAAAGAAAATTCAAGGTTAGGGTGTCCTTACACTGACCAGTGCGGGACAGCAGCGCCAAGTGTGTAACCCCCTGACACGCAACAAAAAGAAGCACTGCATCGCTATGTGTGTATGTTGCGAGGGCCATGCCTTTTCAATCAGGTTTCCTGCTGTCGGTTCTTGCTCCAGCCTCTCAATTACGATCTGTTCACCGGGCGAGCCCGTTTGTGGTTGTCTGTGACGATAACCACAGGCCGATCAACGAGCAGGTTCATGCGAGCGGCTTGCTGCCGGAGCCTCGCGAGCAACTCGGCTCCTATATTCCGCAGGAATGCGTCCTCGTTCCATCTGAGGGTTTCAGGATTCAGCCAGTGGATCACAGCTTATTCCTACCGAAACCGGACAGTTTCCCGAAGTGCAAGGTGGCAGTCCCGGTCCACTTGCCCCAGGAGACATGAAATGGCGCGTCGCGCGTGAAATTCCTTTCCTGCTTTGAGGCATGCGGTCAAGGCCATGCCGATGGTATCCATATCGACAGCCACGTTGTCCGCCTTTGCAGTGCATGACAACAAAGCCAGGATGACCGCCCATGACCGCCCGTATGCGCTGCAAGCGTTCACGGCAGTGCTGTAAAGGACCGAGTCATGCAACTGCCGCTGCTGAGCCTTAGCGCAGATGAACATAGCACTTCTCCATAAGGCTGCCGTGCCACATGCACTGACACAGGAACTGCATGTGACCACATCGCTGTGAAGCCGTCCGTGTCCCACTTGCTCCAGCAAATTTAGTGTAGACATCCACCGCTCGGCCCTTTGACAAGCACTCATGCTTGCGTTGTATGTAATCACATCTGTTCGAGTTTTTGTCTTCGCCATCGTCATCGTCCGCACTGCATGCTGCCATTGACAAGCTTTCTCGCATACACTGATCAACGCGTTGTAGGTAACACGGGTTGCAAATATATTTTGTTCCTGAAGCTGTACCAGTAGGTTCAGTGACTGCTGCCAGTGGCCTTCGTGCTCAAGTGCACTGAGCACGGCGTTGTACATAATGATGTCTGCTTCTAGATGCTTTGACAGGAGCTTCTGCAGCAGTGCTACTACTTGCTGCCATCGACTTGCTTTGGCACACGCGCTCATAGCAGCACTGAAAGTGATCAAGTCCGGCTGAAGAGCTTGACTTTCCGCCAGTTCCAAGACCCCCAAAGCGATCGGCCAGCGCGTAGCCTTCTCGCAGGCACTGATGGAAGCGTTGAAGGTTATCACATCAGGCACTATATGCAACACCGGCATGTCCTTCAGGGGTGGCGGGAGGTTGTGCGGCTCAAGGAATACTTCGGGGAGAGGCGGAGAGGGACAAAGACGGACACAGAGCAGCCGGGCCCAAAACAGATCTTGCGGTTCTTGCCTGGCATCCTTTTCGTGCAAGCGACTCGTGTCTTTTTGTTGATGCAGGTACTGAACCCTGTTAGAAGAGAACGTCTCGATGGATCCATCGTTGATGTAGCAAAGGGTAAGTGTGGAAATCCCGCAACCCGGAAATGGATTCAAATTCAGATCCAATCCAAAGGGCGAACTCGGCACGATGCGTCCTCTTGCAGCAATGCCAACGCCAGCTCCCAACGCCCGCATTTCTCACATGCACTGATCGCTGCATTGAACATCACAACACTTAGCCTCAGCCGTGCAGATCTGAAGTTGTTCAGGAGGTGCAAAGACCACTGCCACTGCCGCCCTTTCTCACAAGCACTGATCAGAGAGCCAGCAAGCATTGTGTCTTCCTGTAAGTCAAGCATGCGCACGTCCAAGAAAAGCTGTAAGGCAGCTTGCCAAGCTGCCAAGCCCTCGCAAGCACTCACTCCTAGACTGTACATAATCACATCTGCTACCAAGTGCTTGTGCTTGGCAGTTGCCAGCAGGTGTAAGGCTTCAGTCCACTTCCTAAGTCCTTTAATTCCGGAGCTGTAAGTGACAACAGCGGGCCTCAGAAACAGCGAGTGCAATTCATTGAGCAAATTCGATCCAAGCTCCCACTGTCCGGCTTTGCCTGTTGCGCTAATGGCAGCATTGAAAGATACTATACTTCGCTCCAGCTCTAGTTCTGGGAGGCGCGCGAGCAAGTTCAGTGCCTGCTTCCACTGCCTGGTGTTCCCGATTCGATGTATGGCAGAATTGCAGCACTTTATTTCGGATATAGGCATGCCGGTATGATCTGGTTGCTGCTGAAACCCATGCCAAATGCCGGCCCAAGGTCTCGTGGAAAGCCATGGCAACTCCTACTTGCGAACTTCTGCCCACACTGAAGCTTGTTCTCTAGTGGCAGGGCTGCGGAAAGCACTGCGGAAAGCTTTACATAAGCATGCAAGGGTCTGAGGCTTGGTAGTATCTTGTCGGGATTCCACGGTCACAATGGGCCAGAGTAGTTACTATGACATGACACGAGTAGTCAACAGTGGTTGAGGGGGGCAGGAGGTAAAGACGTAACTACCGGGAGTCTCCAGCTAGGTTGCAACAACTACAGGCGCCGGCCCACAAAAAGTGAGTCTCTTAAACTCAAACATGAAGTGCCAGGCTGACAGCCCATCGACAAAATGATGGTTCCACTGCGCTGCATAAGCATCCGTCTTCAACTGCCTTGTCCGGCCTGTGTCGCCAACCAAGCTGCTGATACAAGACCAAGGCCACTGCATCCGCCACCTGTGAGAGAGAGCAGCTCAAAGCTCAGAGGACCCCTCGCAGATGTCAGGGAACGCGGCTGATGACAAACCAGCCAGGGCTGGGAAGTGTAGGTGGAGGCCAAACGCCCCAAGCCTCGAGCTGGCAATCTTCATCTGTGGAACAGGACCAGCTCCCCGTTGCCGCCGAGCTGCTTCTGCTGAAGTCTGCTCCAGCCTTGCCACGTAGCGCTCCAAATCCAGTTCATCGCTGTCAGACTCCTGCAGGTTTCGAAGCATGGCTGAACCATGCTAAACCAGGGTAACGGCCTTTTCAAAACCATGTAGAGTGTGGACGGGCATGGGTTCTGGGCTTGAGCAAATGGTCCAGGATTACTAGATTTCAGGGTGTTGCTGGTCGGGGTGCTAGAGGTTCGGTGGTTATGAAAAGGATGCTGCAGAGTGGGCTTGCTTGAGTTGTCGGTTCTCGGTCGGTTCCACCACTTACTGCTCGACTGGATGTAGCTTCTACAAACCATGGAATCTGACAAAAAGGCAGGTTATGGGCACCTCCTCGGCATCCAGAGTCAGCTTTCGCACCAAGAGCTCCATCTCAGGCCCGCAGTCGTCATCATCCTCCTGTCTTGGCATGAGACTCGTTACGTCTAGTCATTCCTGGGTCAGCGACATTGGCTTGAAACCGCGACAGAAAAACAAGTGGAGAGATAGCGTCCGGAGACCTACTTGTTTCTACTTTGCGTTTTGGCACTGATTCTGTGGAGTTGTCCATTCGGGCCACAGGTGCGAAGTTGATGCCGGGGCCAACAACTTGAGGGGGTTTAGTATCTCTAGGATTATCCGTCGGAAAGGTGTTCGTCGAGTAGGGCAACATGCGACATTCGACTTGGGTGTCGAAGCTGTCAGAACTGTGAAACGCAGCAAAGCCGCAATCGACATCAGTGGTACACTTGTCATGTTCGTGCAGTTTGCTCTTCCAGTCGGGCTGATGAAACATGCAGCAATCTAAATTTGCCGGTGCAGTGCATCGAGCACGGGATTCCCCCGTCAGCAAACCAAACAACAGCTGCCGCTTCACTGGTCTGTACCAACTTTTTTGTCCTGCTGGCTTCTTGCAGCTCGAAGTCGGCTGAGTATGGCCCGGGGGCAAGTGGAATCGACCTTGCTCAAGGAGTGAAGAAAACAGGTGAAGCCGAGAATTCAGAGCTTACCAGCTCGTCGCTTCAAAGGAGCGCACATCGATGCAGCCGACCATGACTCGCTCGCGCCTGCACAAAAAGGAACAGCTGCCGAGGCTTTCGCTGACATGGTAGGCAGCAAGGAAGCCTGGCACAGCGAGCAAGTCCCCACAAACCTGCGTGGAAGGGCACACCCCGCTTGGCCAAGTCCTCCTCAGCACGGCATGTATGGACAGGAGCAGAGATAATGAGAGAGCGAGAGAGAGTGCAAGAGAGGGGCTGTGAGAGCGAGGAGCATGCCCGCATGCACATCAGTTGCCAGCCCTTTGCATACTCAAGTGTCCCGCCTAAGTATACTCCTGACCCCGCAACCCCAGAACATGGCCCGAGGTGGGTGTAACCTAGGGCATGGGTTGTCCAGGGTCACACGTGTGTATATATATATATAAATAAGAAATAGATGTATATATACATACATGCATGGGTGTTCCTAGTAGTAGTAGTAGTAGTAGTAGTAGTAGTAGTAGTAGTTGTAGTAGTGGTAGTAGTAGTAGTAGTAGTAGTAGTAGTAGTAATCGTAGTAATCGTAGTAATCGTCGTCGTAGTAGTAGTAGTAGTAGTAGTAGCAGTAGTAGTAGAAGTAGAAGTAGAAGTAGAAGTACGTAGTAATAAGTCGTAGTCGTCGTCGTCGTCGTACTCTCCGGTGTATAAGCAGCACTGGTAGTACTC